CTCCTCTCCAATTCTTCTCTATCTTCCTCATTATTGTGAGAGTTTTTGGACTGTTTTGTGTCCTTGCGGGCTGATACAGTTTCATGATTGAGGAATCTTATAAGCTGCTCCTTTTTACGTCTCCTCTCCTCTCCATCCGCCTCTCCTCGAGTGCAACTGAACACAAGGCTCCCTGATGATTGCTTGATACAAGAACACACTAAACCTCCAGGAATTGTCCTAGATTTCCCTAGTGGTGTTGCTTTGCCTTGATACACACAAGCAGGCCTTGTTTTAGGTTTAGTTTTAGTAGGAGCCGTAACCAAAGTAACCTTGTAGTTACTAGCATGTGTGGGCAATGTTTGAGGTTTGTCTTGTTTTGCTGCACTTGAAGCGGTAGGGGATATCATGGGACTGTTTTTGTACGTGTTCTGTTTTACACGTGTTTTACACGTGTTTTTGCAGATGAACACAGGCCCAGAAAGGAGTTGTTTGCAAGTACAAACCTTACATTTACTCAACGCTAAGTCTGAACCGAACCTGATCACCACGCCCCCTCTCCGACACCCCCTTATAACCTGTTGTGTCTGTGTGTGTTGTGGCATGTTGTGATGTTGTGTCTTATGAGTGAAGGCAGAGTATGTGGGAGCAGGAGCATACTTCTGGTTAGCTGCACAGGATGGGTAGTATCTGCAGGCAAGATAAGCGCTATCTTGAGAGTCCGATAAACTTAGGGGACTACACGTTTCTGGTATTTTGATCTGATTAGTGTAGAAAATAGTGCCCTCTATTTATAACTACTTGTCGATAAACATACTTATTAATTACCTTAGGTTGTATCTTAAACTGTCTGCAAATATTCACGATTATGTAACATTTTTTGGCATGGATATTTGGACAACTCTGAAAATTAGGTTTAATGAAAGAGAGGCTCGAATTAGTGCTGTAGGTGTACCCTGGTAAAACCCTAGTAAAACCCTAGGAACACCCTAGTAACACTGTAGTAACACCCTAGTAACACCCTAGTAAAACCCTAGTAAAACCCTAGGAACACCCTAGTAACACTGTAGTAACACCCTAGTAACACCCTAGTAACACCATACTAACACCATACTAACACCTTAGTAACACCCTAGTAACACCCTAGTGACACCCTAGTAACACCCTATTAACACTGTAGTAACACTGTAGTAACACCCTAGTAACACTGTAGTAACACCCTAGTAACACCCTAGTAACACCCTAGTGCTGTCGGTGTTAAGACTATTGCCTTATTACAGGGCTAGGGTGCGAGTTCAAACTGATTATATTGTATTACCTGTCTGCACCAGGCGGTGAAGGGCGGAGTTTGGAATCTTATTTGAGTAATTGCTAAGGGAAATTATCGGCAGCAAAGTACGTATCAGTCGCACCATTTTGTAGAAACAAGATATGATCCAATTACTCAATTATATTATAGGGTACTACAGGCAACTTGGTCGTTTAGCTCCGGACAGTCTATGCAACGTCTATGCAACGTCCATGCAAGAGTTGCATAGACAGTTCTTTTGTTGTTGCACGGACGTTGCATAGACGTTGCATAGACTGTCCGGAGCTAAACGACCAACTTCCCGATAATGAGTCAAGTCTGCAGTATGCATCTTAGACTCTTAGACAACTGTCTGTCATCATCGCCTATAACAGCTGGGGACAACTGTCTGTCATCATATTCATCGCCTATAATAGCTGGAGACAACTGTATGTCCTCATCGTCTATAGCTGGGGACAACTCTATAACTAGGACTATTTCAGCATTTCCGGTGACTAGAAGACACCCTGGCTTTGCTGCCTCGATACAGATGGAGTTCCGTCAAGAGTGCTCCCCTCAGCAGAACATTATCTTCACTAAAACCCACAAAACAGGCAGTAGCACCATCACCAACATACTTCTCAGGTAACTAGAGTAACTATGGTAACTAGAGTAACTATGGTAACTAGAGTAACTATGGTAACTACAGTAACTATGGTAACTACAGTAACTATGGTAACTGCAGTACGTCGTATTGTATTTATTCGACGCATTTCAAAACTTGAAATTTTAGTGATCACGTATTAAAGCTTTCAAAATTCGGCCGAATCTTAAGTGCCATTAACTTGGAGCCGAAAATGTTTAGAACTTCGATAAAACATACTGCCAGAGATTAGCATCTCATCATTGTAACACCCTAGTAAAGTAGTAACACCCTTTTTTCAGATACGGGGAAGGTAACAACAGGACCCAGCTACTGTACAAGTACCCCTCCAGTACGGAGTTCAAGAAACTGGTCCCTGAACGACTTCTTACCGGTCGCTCTACGGCCAACATCTTCGCGCAGCATGCCAATTTCGACCAGGGTTTCCTCAAACGTCACATCTATAACACCTCTAAAACTTTTACCATCCTACGCTCCCCTGTTTCACAGTTCCTATCAGCGTTCAGCTTCTTCGAGAAGACCCGGCTGTATCCAGCAGATACCTTCGAGGAGAGCATCAAACTCTTCTTCAAGAGTCACGGTCACGACAAGTACCTCACTGATTCCTGGTTCTGTAAAAACTGTGGAATGTTGGTGAACGCCAACAGCATGGACATGGGGTTCAACACAGAGGGCTACGTCACAACAGAGAACCAGGAAAAGTACATGTCTGACTTTCTGGAGGAAGCCTCGCGCACGTGGGATTTAGTGCTGATAACCGAGTACTTTGATCTGTCACTAGTTCTGCTGAAGAGACGGTTCTGTCTTCAGTTTGAGGATATCTTGTATCTGAGATCTCTGGAGAGGATAAAGAAAGAGACAGTAGAGGAGCCCTACACGCTTGCTAAGATTGCAGAGATGCAGAAGTTGGATATAGCGCTCTATGACTATTTCAACGCTACATTTTGGCGGGAAGTGGAAAAAGAGGAGGGAATTTTTGAGGAGTTGGCTATTTTCCAAAAACTGAATAAACAAGTTCAGTCCTTTTGTGTTCAAGGTAAGACGAGCTGGATTTCCTCTGCACGATCTTAGTCAAAGTTTTAAAGTTTTCATTTATGTAAACGTAACGTGTAGATTCTGCAAACAAATTGGAAACTTGAGCAGGTTGAATATTTAAAGATCCTCGCCAGGGTTTGGATTTTTCCGGAATTTGCTTAGCAAACTTTTGAATGATTAATTTAAAAGTTTAAAACTAACTTACTCTTTAAAAGAAACTCGTGCCACAGGTTCTAGAGTTGGATACCAGGGAACGTACGCTAATGTCCTCTCCCCGAAAGGGAAGGAGAACTTCCAGTGTGTTGCTATGAACACTAGATGTCTAAACTTCATCAGATTACTAGGTTAGTCGGCGGAGCAATGATTTTTATTAAACTCGTTTGTAAAACTAATTTGGTATTCTACTTCGATATCAAAAACGTATTGCAATTGTGTTGCAGCTTGACAAGCTTTGATTCTTTTTTTTTCTTTTTTTTTCAATGAGTCATCAATACTCTAAAACCGAACGATTCAATAAAATCAATTTTAAAACGTCAACCGAAACAATTATCGTTTTTATTCATTTTCCATTCCATGACAGAAGCAAGAGATGATATTGCGGTTAAAGATGAAGATATGGAGGAGATTTCACTTAAGTACACTGATCCTGACAGTTTAAATCTAGATCAAGTTACACATATGGACAGAAATGATAACGTCATTGATTTAGCTTACAAAAATAGATTTAGGTTTTGATTCTTGTAGACAATTTTAGGTTTATCTTTAGTTATAATATTGATTCTTAAATGGGTAGAATTTTTTAATGAAAATCTTCTCGTTGATCGAGAAGTTGAATATAGATTATAGGAGTTTTATATAAATGCATAATTCGTGAATTATTAGCATTTTAATGAATAATAATCTCAACACTTATTTTACTTCGGACATTCCAACAGCCACATTGTTACACAAGTGTGTAACCAGCCAATTACAGGAAGCCGAAGGATTCAATTATACATTAGGCCAGTGACGGTTAAGGTAGTGTGTACCATACTTTCTTCGCCCGAGACTTTGCTGCAATGGGCAGCTCCTCATTTAACCCTCACACCCGATTTCTCGAGTATTTGGCTGAGTGGACCGGGGGGCTGCATAGACCACTCAGGATCTTTAGCTGAGCGTCGACGACGCTCACCCCACGGCTAGTGACAGAGTCGGGAATCGAACCTGGTACCTCAAGCAATACCAGGCGGATTAACCAACTGAGCCACTAAGCCGTGAAAAGCCACTAAGCCGTGTGAGCCACTAAGCCGTGAAAGATAATATGAAAATATTCAGTAAGCGTATCAGACTTGCTAAACTGAATGTTTAACGACTCAGTTTATTTAAATATTCAGTTTAATGGCTGCTACAGAGGTAAGTAACTAAGTAAGAAACGAAAGTATTGTTTTCATTTGTAAACTTAGTATCACCACAGAAGGGTAACGGCAGAAGGTTTTGCGGGTTAACTTATTTTTAAAAGAATCTCTTTGTAACATGATAACTTTAAATCTTAATATAATTAGTATTCGAAATATCTATACACGGTGGTTCTTTTAGAATAAAATCACAGGGAAATCCTGTGGTTTTCAGGTCCATCTTAATTGAATTTCGGTTGAAAGTTTGGGAATCGAGTTGAATCAAAACCGCAACAAAAGCTGAGGTGACTACAGTAACTATGGTAACTGCAGTAACTATGGTAACTGCAGTAACTATGGTAACTGCAGTAACTATGGTAACTGCAGTAACTATGGTAACTACAATAACTATGGTAACTGCAGTAACTATGGCACCACAAAAGGTGAGCGTTGGACAGGGCGTTCTGATTAATGAAATATGTTTTTAAAGTTTTTGTCTGGGTTAGTGTCTGTTGAAGAAAAATGAGTGACAGATTCGCTGGATAATGTTTGATTACTAATATCTGTCTTTATAGCAAGAAGATCACAGTATTTCATGCTGTTTTTAAATTTCTGTCTAAAGTTTAACCTAGTGTTAACTAGGACTTAAGTGTGAAGGAGAACTCCGTTTTTAAATTATTGAGATATTGAATGATTCGATATTTTGTCCTAAAATTCAGAACAGCGTTTTATGTCTCAGTCTGAAATGCAGTCTTTCGGCAATAATATTTGTATCAACCACATCATCACGGACCATCATTACATTTCAATGAGTAAATCGACAGAAAAGTTAGCAAAAAGGAGGAAGCTACTAAAATAAATTGTCTGTTTCCGAAAAATCAACATCACCCACTGTTCCACAACCTCCTATATTCTCACGCGTGACGACTCACGCACTTATTATCCACTGTGCACTTGAGAGTATTGTCTTGTTTGCACGTGCAAGTTCTACAGCCGCGCATCACTCTACTCCCAGGTGTTAGATAATTACTTCCGGTGTAGCAGCCAGAAACTAGGGACCCAGCACCTGAGAATAAATATTCGGTTAGCTACCAAATATCTGGCTACCTGGCTTTTTCTACCTTTCTAGTTCTCTGTGATCTTTTTCTACTTGTATACTTAACTACCTGGCTCTTTCTATGTGTTACGCAAATTTTTGCTTTACTATTACTAAAATGGTGAATCGAAGGCCACAAAAGTTGTTAGTAAGTAATTGAGTACTCACATTGTTTTGGATGAAGTCTGCTGCAGCGAAGGTGTCCTCTGTTGCACGTGCAGGATTTACAGTGCTGTTTATTGTAGAGTATGGAACTGTTCAGGACCACCATGTTGTACGATATACTACACCCTGGGGAATAATTAGTTAGGGTGTTACTAGGGTGTTACTAGGGTGTTACTAGGGTGCTGCTAGAGTGTTACTAGGGTGTTACTAGGGTGTTACTAGGGTGTTGCTAGGGAACTGTTCAGGACTACCATGTTGTACGATATACTGCACCCTGGGGTATAGTTAGCTGACTATAAGCTGAGCAGGTCACTATGAAACTGGTTATAAACCATTTAATAACAAGTAGAAGAGTCTGTCGCTGCCTAACGTCTCTGATTCGGGGCTTTTTTAGGCCCATGATAATAATATACAGATATACCCTTCAGTTAAACTTAAACAGATTAAATAACAATAAATACCTTACAAGACATATTTATAACGTACGAAATGTGGCGGTTTTCCGAAAATTTCGCCATATTTTCGGACCGCCAAAATTTCGGTCGTCGTAATAGAATCCGTCGCATTATCTTTTAGCTTATTTCAATGACTGTGCCTTCACTGCTTTATTTTGTTTTTAAAAAGTAATATCAAGTAAAATAAATAAATAAATTCTGGCATCTTGGGACAAATTATTACCACACCAATGACGAATTGAATGTCAAGCAATACAGTTTAAATTTGCATTAAAATACATGTATGTGCTAACATGAAAGTCTTACAGTCTTAATACAGACTAAGTTTGAACATGATTTTACCGAATTTCAGAAATTTCCTTACTGCTTACTGTCACAAAAAATGATGAAAAATACCCTTATTTTCTGTGACGTCCGAAATTTGACGGTTTTTGTTCAATTTCGCCATATTTTCGGACCGCCAAAATTTCGGTCGTCGCAAATTAAGCCGCCATAAATATGTCTTGTAAGGTAACAAGAAGACTAGCAATACTAACCTGCGTGAAGAGTACTATCAGTGTAACTATGTGGGGGGAGAAAGGAAGGTGGTCTATTAGCAGGAGCACACCTCTCTGCTGACTGGTCGTGACAGCTCAGTGAGTACTGGTGCTGACTCCCTTCCGATAAGGAACACCTGGGCAGGAGGTGTTACTAGGATGTTACTAGGGTGTTACTAGGGTGTTACTAGGGTGTTACTAGGGTATTACTAGGGTGTTGCTAGCTCAGTGAGTACTGGTGCTGACTCCCTTCCGATAAGGAACACCTGGGCAGGAGGTGTGACTAGGGTGTTACTAGGGTGTTACTAGGGTGTTACTAGGGTGTTACTAGGGTGTTGCTAGCTCAGTGAGTGCTGGTGCTGACTCCCTTCAGATAGGGAACACCCGGGCAGGAGGTGTTACTAGGGTGTTACTAGGGTGTTACTATGGTGTTACTAGGGTGTTACTAGGGTGTTACTAGGGTGTTACTAGGGTGTTATAGGAGGAGATATACAATTCAACAAACTGATACTAGACAATATAATTGCACCTTAATTAACTAACTAATTGGTTTGTGGGCAAAAATTGCACCCAATCTGTCCAATTTGTGTTCAGAAAATTTCATATTTGAAAATGGGACAGGATTTTGAAAATACAACTTTTCGTTTTGTTAAGCTTTCTGCTGTGGACTTCTTCCGACCTAAATCAAACTTCCAGCACCTCAATCGTGCCATTTGGCATCTACAGTTGACTTACTAATTGGTTGTGGGTAAAAATATGTAAAAACTGTAAAATTTCGGTCCTGGAAATTTCATCTTCAAAAACTGAAAATGGGACAGAGATTGGGACAATATGATTTTGCAATTTTATTCGGGATTTTGACTACCAGTACCTCAATTTGGTTCCATGCCATCATCAATTAACTGACTAATTGGTTTGTGGGCAAAAATTGCACCCAATCTGTCAAATTTGTGTTCAGAAAATTTCATATTTGAAAATGGGATAGGATTTTGAAAATACAACTTTTCGTTTTGTTAAGCTTTCTGCTGTGGACTTCTTCCGACCTCAATCAAACTTCCAGCACCTCAATCGTGTCATTTGGCATCTATAGTTGACTTACTAATTGGTTGTGGGTAAAAATATCAGTAAAAACTGTAAACTTTTGGTCCTGGAAATTTCATCTTCAAAAACTGAAATTGGGACAGAGATTGGGACAAATTGACAATATGATTTTGCAATTTTATTCGGGATTTTGACTACCAGTACCTCAATTTGGTTTCATATCATCATCAATTAACTGACTAATTGGTTTGTGGGCAAAAATTGCACCAAATCCGTCAAATTTGTGTTCAGAAATTTTCATATTTCAAAATGGGACAGGATTTTGAAAATACAACTTTTCGTTTTGTTAAGCTTTCTGTTGTGGACTTCTTCCGACCTCAATCAAACTTCCAGCACCTCAATCGTGTCATTTGGCATCTATAGTTGACTTACTAATTGGTTGTGGGTGAAAATATCAGTCAAAACTGTAAAATTTCGGTCCTGGAAATTTCATCTTCAAAAACTGAAAATGGGACAGAGATTGGGACAATATGATTTTGCAATTTTATTCGGGATTTTGACTACCAGTACCTCAATTTGGTTTCATACCATCATCAATTAACTAACTAATTGGTTTGTCGGCAAAAATTGCACCCAATCTGTCAAATTTGTGTTCAGAAAATTTCATATTTGAAAATGGGACAGGATTTTGAAAATACAACTTTTCGTTTTGTTAAGCTTTCTGCTGTGGACTTCTTCCGACCTCAATCAAAATTCCAGCACCCCAATCGCGTCATTTAGCATCTATAATTGACATACTAATTGGTTGTGGGTGAAAATATCAGTCAAAACTGTAAAATTTAGGACCTGGAAATTTCATCTTCAAAAACTGAAAATGGGACAGAGATTGGGACAATATGATTTTGCAACTTTATTCGGGATTTTTACTATACCAGTACCTCAATTTGGTTTCATACCATCATCAATTAACTGACTAATTGGTTTGTGGGCAAAAATTGCACCCAATCTGTCAAATTTGTGTTCAGAAAATTTCATATTTGAAAATGGGACAGGATTTTGAAAATATAACTTTTTGTTTTGTTAAGCTTTCTGCTGTGGACTTCCTCCGATCTCAATCAAAATTCCAGCATCTCAATCGTGTCATTTGCCATCTATAGTTGACTTACTAATTGGTTGTGGGTGAAAATATCAGTCAAAACTGTAAAATTTCGGTCCTGGAAATTTCATCTTCAAAAACTGAAAATGGGACAGAGATTGGGACAATATGATTTTGCAATTTTATTCGGGATTTTGACTACCAGACACCAGTACCTCAATTTGGTTTCATAGCATCATCAATTAACTGACTAATTGGTTTGTGGGCAAAAATTGCACCCAATCTGTCAAATTTGTGTTCAGAAAATTTCATATTTGAAAATGGGACAGGATTTTGAAAATACAACTTTTCGTTTTGTTAAGCTTTCTGCTGCGGACTTCCTCCGACCTCAATCTAAATTCCAGCAAATCAATCGCGTCATTTGGCATCTATAGTTGACTTACTAATTGGTTGTGGGTGAAAATATCAGTGAAAACTGTAAAATTTCGGTCCTGGAAATTTCATCTTCAAAAACTGAAAATGGGACAGAGATTGGGACAATATGATTTTGCAATTTTATTCGGGATTTTGACTATCAGACACCAGTACCTCAATTTGGTTTCATAGCATCATCAATTAACTGACTAATTGGTTTGTGGGCAAAAATTGCACCCAATCTGTCAAATTTGTGTTCAGAAAATTTCATATTTGAAAATGGGACAGGATTTTGAAAATACAACTTTTCGTTTTGTTAAGCTTTCTGCTGCGGACTTCCTCCGACCTCAATCTAAATTCCAGCACATCAATCGCGTCATTTGGCATCTATAGTTGACTTACTAATTGGTTGTGGGTGAAAATATCAGTGAAAACTGTAAAATTTCGGTCCTGGAAATTTCATCTTCAAAAACTGAAAATGGGACAGAGATTGGGACAATATGATTTTGCAATTTTATTTGGGATTTTGACTCTTATAACAATACCTGCAATATCTGCAGCTCCCAGCGAGAATAACACCTGCAGGTAGAACCATGACACCTCCAATATTACAACCAGTGAGGGGCTGTGCTGAGGGGTCCACGTGCCCACAAACCAGCTGGTCACGCGACTGGGAACTCTCACACGTGCACAGGATTTGCCTGGATCAGGAGGAGATATTATTTATTAGTACTATGTTTGTAGGTTGGAATGAAGCCAGAAACGGGATGAAGCAGGATGTTTCCTTGAAGTTGAAAGGGTCACTCACATATTACGTAATCAGCCGAGGGGGGAGGGGGGGGGGTCACTCACATATTACGTAATCAGCCGAGGGGGGAGGGGGGGGTCACTCACATATTACGTAATCAGCCGAGGGGGATGGGGGTTTCCAAATGATTACGCTAATGTAATTTTGACACAATTGCTATGTGTAAAACGGATTATGGAAGGGGGGGGTAAAAATTGTTAAAAAGGTGATTACGTAACATGTGAACCACCCCTAAACACTCAATCAGAGCACATCAAATATTGATTGTACAGTTCAACATGCTAACATGTGTTTGAAGTCACGAGAAAGAAAATATTTTATAAAATTTCGTTATATCTGACCTGTTGATGTAAATTGAATATCCTGAAGGCACGACAACTCCTTCATAAAAACACCCGCTGTTCGCGTCATCAGTACCAAATATCACTTTACCAGATTGCAGATTGTGACATCTGTAGTTTTCTTTGTTGACCGGTGCAGAAAACAGCCTAAAATTAGATGGATTGTATGAAGTTACTATATTTCTATTGCAATTGTTCACTTTCATTTTAAAAGTTCAGGCAACACGTAGAATTTGTCAAAAAAATCTATTTATTATTACTTTATTAATTTTCCAGATAAAAAGGCCACAACTTACTTAGATTCGTACTGCTTGCTAATTTCAGGGGCACCAGGAAGGTTTTCTTGCTTCGGAACATATATCTGATGGTTTCCACTCCATTGCGGTGTATGTCTGCCTGTAGTTTGAGGGACTACTGAGGATTTAACCTCTACAGAGGGGTTCTCTAACTTAGGAAATCGTCTTTGTTTTTTACTCCTCTTTCCTCTTATACGCCTTCTCCTCTCCAATTCTTCTCTATCTTCCTCATTATTGTGAGAGTTTTTGGACTGTTTTGTGTCCTTGCGGGCTGATACAGTTTCATGATTGAGGAATCTTATAAGCTGCTCCTTTTTACGTCTCCTCTCCTCTCCATCCTCCTCTCCTCGAGTGCAACTGAACACAAGGCTCCCTGATGATTGCTTGATACAAGAACACACTAAACCTCCAGGAATTGTCCTATATTTTCCTAGTGGTGTTGCTTTGCCTTGATACACACAAGCAGGCCTTGTTTTAGGTTTAGTTTTAGTAGGAGCCGTAACCATAGTAACCTTGTAATTACTAGCATGTGTGGGCAATGTTTGAGGTTTGTCTTGTTTTGCTGCACTTGAAGCGGTAGGGGATATCATGGGACTTTCTTTGTACGTGTTCTGTTTTACACGTGTTTTACACGTGTTTTTGCAGATGAACACAGGCCCAGAAAGGAGTTGTTTGCAAGTACAAACCTTACATTTACTCAACGCTAAGTCTGAACCGAACCTGATCACCAGGCCCCCTCTCCGACACCCCCTTATAACCTGTTGTGTCTGTGTGTGTTGTGGCATGTTGTGATGTTGTGTCTTATGAGTGAAGGCAGAGTATGTGGGAGCAGGAGCATACTTCTGGTTAGCTGCACAGGATGGGTAGTATCTGCAGGCAAGATAAGCGTTATCTTGAGAGTCCGTTTTACACTGGCAGGCTGTGCATTCTTCAATCCTTATTTTTGATCCTACTGGGATTTTCTTGGTGTTTATTTGACAATTATTACTTTTTTGAATATTTAGCCCTGGTTTTGAATCTGAAGAATGGTCGTTTTTTCTGGTGTTTGA